TTTCCTATCAAAACCGAAAACTACCCTAGACACAAGACCCCAAGACTTCCCCCAAGCTAGACATTTGATTACCGTTCCCACGATAGATGGACACAATGAGAAACATCTCCCCCCAAGCCAGAACTCGACACCGGCCTCGGTGTTACACATGATGGGAAAAGAAGAGAAGGGAACGGTAAAAACAAATGTCTAAAGGCTACTCCCGATCATCCTCCCTAGGCGGTGATGGCATGTAGTTATAAATGAGGTCTACATCGCCGGAAAAGGAAGGTTGATCCACGTATGGAGGAAGATCATAGTTGGGGCTACTACGATAGTGACCGTAGTCCGGTGCATTACTAGTGCCCCACCCACCATCATACCCGGGTGGACACCCGAAGTATCCTCTTAAGGGGTGGTTATCGATTTCCTCGGGAGTCAATTACCACATGTCTCGGGGACGTGGTAATAAGAAGGGTCCCCCCTAAAATCACAACCCCCGGGTTGTGTATAATCGTAGGGAGGAAAGGATCGTAGCTCCGAAATGGAGCTACGAGGTCCTTGCCAATAAGAGTAGGTGGGTTGGTTGTTGTTCCAACCCGCAACCGGCCCCTCTTGAACGGGGCGGTTAGGATAGTTGACATAGGGGAGAAAGTCTCCCCTCTCAACTTGGCTTTGATATGTCATTTGAGACACATAACTTTGATATTCATTTTCGTGGAGGATTCTTTGGTTGGAAAGATTTAGGCGGTGAAAAGCCGATTCAAGGTCGAAGGAGGAAGAAGAAGAAGAAGAGGAGCCGCCGAAAAACCTAGGAGCAGTAGAAATACTATGGCGACGAGGTTAAGATGGTTGGTCAGGGTTGGGAACATTCGCGGGGAGTGGCTCAATTGGCACTTGCCAAGTGTTCCCCACGGTGTTCATTACCGCCGCATTAGGGAGAAAGCAACGGTGCTTACCCTTGACCAACCAAGAGTATGTGGTGACATTGCCACGGATCTCCACAAGCATTTGCATTGAGGCAAGTCCGACAAGGTCAAGGACATTGGACCCGTTCACCGGGGTTAATTGCTCAACCCAATTAGCGAAACCCAAAGCCTTGGAAATTATTGTGATCATGCCACCACATTTTATCTTCCCTCTAAACTCCGTACTTCTCTTAATCTCAAGGCACCTTTGGATAAACAAGTATCCCATGTTCACATTACCCTCAAGGTCCCCTCAAATCGGGAAGCTATAAAAAGGCATTTGATCTCCTCTTTTGTTAGCTTCCCGAGATCTTGTTTCGAGAAACAAGCGTACCCCATAATTCTCATGAATATACGGAGTACGGGGTGGACAATGTGGCTAGCGTGGCTAGACCGGGTGGTGAAATTAGGATACTCCGCGATAGTATTCCACCAATTTTTGCTCTTCGTAGCTAGAAAGGTAGAAACTATCGGGGTTGTCTATTTGATTATACACGGGCCACTCAAATATTTCATTGAGGCGAGTTAAGGTTAGAGTCTTTTCTTGATTGAAAAGTCTAAACTTAATTTCGCACTCAAGAGGCTCTCCCTCACCATTGATTCGGCGCATGGTTAAGGTTGAAAGGAACTCGAGAGTGATCGATTCGTAGGTTAGCTCCCTCTTCTTGAGGTAGTTTTAACCATCCGAAATTATCGACCACTCGCCGAATTCCTTCATCTATCCCTAAAAGATGGCAAGTTGATTGGTCGTAAAATCTTGTTGGAAGGATTTTTCGTTTTGAAAGCTCGGAGTGATACTTTTTAAATTTTTCGGGGATTCTAATGGGAGGAGGAGCATTGTCTTGGTTTTTGAGTTTGGTTTTGGTTTTGGTTTTCGGATATTTGGATGCTGGAAGTCTTTCTTTTCTTTCCTCCCGCACCTCCAAATAATCTTTAGCACCATCTTGACAAAATTTGGAAAAAGGAGTAAAAAGGGTTCACTCAAAACTCCTCACACAAGCACCAAAATTCAACAAACACAACCTCCTTAACTTCAAATCCCCAAATTAAACCAAGGTACCTGCTCACAATTCAATAATAATTCCACACAACCAACCAACAATCTTAACACAACAATTCTCACACAAAAATTCACAAATTCACAAATTATAATTAATTTTTCATGCACAAGCCATTCCCTTACTCCACAATTATCCACAAAAACCAACAATTTAATTATCAAAGGCAAGAAAATTTGTTTAAATCACCTAATCATGCAACTAATTACACAACAATCATGAAATAAACAAATTGAGAGAAATATTGAAGAAAAACCCTTAGGTTTAAGAGGGAAAGTGAAGTAAGGAAGAAAATTATACCACTTTGAGTATGAAAAATACTCTAAAATCCTCCAATTTCCTCAAATTCCTCCTTTACTAGCAAGCTTGCCCCCTTTCCCTATTGATTTTCTTCAATTCCCACTTGTGGGTCTTCGAAATTTTTGCCCAAATTTTTATGAAATTATGGTTTTTGGAGAGAGAATTTGATGTAGATTAAGAATTTGTGAATTTCGGTTAAAGAAAGTTGAGATTTGATAATGAAAATGAAGAGAGAAGTTGGAGAATATGAGGTTTTTAGAGAGGGAAGTAGATGGGAAGGAGGAGAGAGAGTATGAATGTTTGAATGAGAGGTGAGAAATGATGGGTAAAGTGATTAAAAGAGAGATAAGTTCCTCTTTTTTTTTTTTACCCGGACAGGTAGGAGCGGGCGTGCAGAAGGGTAGGAGCGCCCGCTCCTAACTGAGAAAGAGTTGCTGCCTGTTTTAAAAACCGTGTTGGAGCGGGCGTGCAGAGATGTTGGAGCGCCCGCTCCAAGCCGAAGTTGAGAATCTGACTTTCTAACCCAGCAAGGAGCGGGCGTGTAGGTGAGTTGGAGCGCCCGCTCCTGAAATCAATTTTGGCTACGGCATTTGACAGGAGCGGGCGTGCAATGATAGTGGAGCGCCCGCTCTAATGCTATGTTGGAAACCTATTTGCTAACCCAGACAGGAGCGGGCGTGCAGTTGAGTTGGAGCGCCCGCTCCTACCAGTCTTGAAGCCTACTGTTTCGTACATTGAGCTTGGAGCGGGCTTGCAGTTGTGTTGGAGCGCCCGCTCCTACCAGTCTTGAAGCCTACTGTTTCGTACATTGAGCTTGGAGCGGGCTTGCAGTTGTGTTGGAGCGCCCGCTCCTAGCTGGTGACAGCTTCCTGTTTTGTTTTCTTCGGCTCTTTTTTATTCAAGTACCTATATCAAAACCACAAGAACAAAATTCAACAATATTGGCCAAAATCAGATATTCCCAACACTCTTATTCTTTTCTTCTCTCATTCATTGTTTTATTTTTCACTCCTTTTATTTTCTTGACTCTCTCTTCTCTCTCTCTTTTTTTTTTCTTTTTTTTTTACTCGGGTTGCCTCCCGGAAGCACTTCTTTAACGTCAATAGCTTGACAACCTCCACACTCAGGAGGTAAGATTACATTGAGTTGATTCTAAAACACCCATATGAGCACCCTCGTAGTAAAGCTTGAGGCGATGCCCATTCACCTTGAAAGATCTCTTGCCGTCCATATCCCAAACTTCCACGGCTCCATGAGGAAACAGTTCCTTGACAACAAAGGGTCCACTCCACCTTGATAAAAGTTTCCCGGGAAACAATTTCATCCTAGAATTGTAGAGGAGTACCTTATCGCCTTTTAGAAATGCTTTCTTTTCAATGTTCCGGTCGTGGCAATCCTTAGTGCGATTCTTATAGTTGCTAGCACACTCATAGGCTTCCAACCTTATCTCTTCAAGCTCATGCAAATCAAGCCATCTTTTCTCTCCCGCGCTAGCCAAGTCGAAATTAATCTTCTTGGTCTCCCATTGGGTCCGGTGCTCAAGCTCCACCGGTAGATGACAAGATTTTCCATACACTAGACGATATGGAGTTGTGCCTATTGGGGTCTTGTACGCCGTTCTATATGCCCATAGAGCGTCATCAAGCTTTTCTGACCAATCCTTCATGTTCTTAGCAACCGTCTTCTCGAGGATTAGCTTTATTTGACGGTTAGACACTTCCGCTTGTCCACTTGTTTGTGGATGATAGGTAAGGCCGAATCTTTGGTGGACCCCGTGCTTTCTTAGCATCTTTTGAAAAGCACTATGAACAAAATGTGAACCATTGTCACTCACCACCGCCCTTGGAATACCGAATCTTGGAAATATGACTTTTTTTGAACATCTTCATGACAACCTTGTGGTCATTAGTTGGGGAGGCAATGGCTTCCACCCATTTTGATACATAGTCGACCGCCACAAGGATGTATTGATTCCCATGAGAATTTGGGAATGGCCCCATGAAATCCATACCCCATACATCAAATACCTCAAACTCAAGAATCGGTTGTTGGGGCATCTCATTACGCTTGGATATGTTGCTGGTTCGTTGACACCGGTCACAAGTCTTCACAAATCCCCAAGCGTCCTTGAAGATGTGAGGCCACCACAAACCTCTATGCAAGATTTTCAATGCAGTTTTTTTGGCTCCCATATGCCCTCCACATGGATCGGAATGGCACATCTTGAGCACTCCTTGCACTTGTTCATCCGGGACACACCTACGGAGCAAACCATCTACTCCTCGTTTGTAGAGAATGGGATCATCCCATACATAATGTCTTGATTCCCTTTTTAGCTTCTTCCTTTGATTCTTGGAGAAATCGGGTGGGCATTCTCCACAAGCCAAGTAGTTTACCAAGTCGGCGAACCAAGGAAGCTCCTTTTCATTCAAGATGTAAAGCATATCATCTCTCAATTCATCACATATAGGGATTTCCTCATCACTAGCTTGCACATTCTCTAGTCGGGAAAGATGGTTCGCAACCACATTCTCGGCCCCTTTTTTATCACGGATTTCAACATCAAATTGTTGGAGAGATAGGACCCACCGAAGAAGACGTGGCTTGGATTCTTTCTTTGCAATAAGGTACCTAATGGCTGCGTGATCGGTATAAACAATAGTTTTGGAACCAATGAGGTAGTTCCAAAACTTCTCAAAAGCATGAACCACGGCAAGAAACTCTTTCTCCGTTGTGGTGTAGTTTCGTTAAGCTTCATTCAAGGTCTTAGACATGTAGTAAATCACGTGAAGCCTCTTCTCTACCCTTTGCCCCAATACTCCTCCAATCGCAACATCACTTGCATCGCACATAAGTTCAAATGGAAAATCCCATCTTGGCCCTTGCACAATTGGAGTTGAGATTAAAGCCTCCTTTAATTTGTTGAAAGCTTGGAGACACTCTTCATCAAAAATAAAGATGGCATCTTTTTGAAGAAGAGCATTTAGGGGTCTAGCAATTTGTGAGAAATCCTTGATGAATCTCCTATAGAACCCGGCATGCCCCAAAAATGACCTTACTCCTCTCACATTGATTGGTGGCGGAAGCTTTTCTATTACTTCAACTTTGGCCTTGTCAACCTCAATCCCTTTGCTTGAAATCTTGTGACCAAGGACAATTCCCTCTTCCACCATAAAGTGGCATTTCTCCCAATTCAAAACCAAATTGACCTTCTCACATCTTGTCAAGCACTTGCCCAAGTTGGACAAACAATCCTCGAACGAAAGGCCCCCTACCGAGAAATCATCCATGAAAACTTCCATTTCGGCTTCAAGCATGTCCCCAAAAATACTCATCATGCATCTTTGGAAGGTTGCCGGTGCGTTGCAAAGCCCGAAGGGCATCCTCCTATATGCAAAAGTTCCATAGGGACAAGTAAAAGTTGTTTTCTCTTGGTCATCCGGGTTTATAGGGATTTGAAAGAAACCCGAATAACCATCAAGAAAGCAATAATACTTGTGCTTGGTTAGTCTTTCAAGCATTTGGTCGATAAAAGGGAGAGGAAAATGATCCTTGTTGGTGGATGCATTTAGACTTCTATAGTCTATGCACATCCTCCAACCAGTCACCGTTCTAGTTGAAATGAGATTACCATTCTCATTTTCAACTACGGTCATTCCTCCCTTTTTAGGGACCACATGAACGGGGGAAACCCATCTAGAACTCGAAATGGGGAAGATGATGCCGGCATCAAGGAGTTTGGTGATTTCTTTCTTCACCACCTCCCCCATTTGAGGATTGAGTTTCCTTTGCCTCTCAATGGAAGGCTTAGCACCCTCCTCAAGTGTTATGTGGTGCATACATAAAGCGGGGCTAATACCTTTGAGGTTATCTATGGTATAGCCTAAAGCACCTTGGTGATCTCTCAAAACACCACATAAAATTTGAGTTTGGCACTCGTTCAAAGAAGAATTCACAATAACCGGAAAAGTTGAATTGGGGCCCAAAAACTCATACCTTAGGTGTGATGGTAGAGGTTTCAACTCTACCATTGGAACACCCTTACCTTCTCTTGAGGTAGCTACTTCTAATGCATCATGTGTTGTGATTACCATGCACACTTGCTCATTGCTTGATTCTGTACTTCCTTCAAGCATTTCTTCATACAATGCCATCTCTTTGCTTTGGTCACCTATCTTTTCCTTGTTCAAAAGGAAATTCTCAAGGGCATTGTTAGTAGTGAGCAAGTGCTCATGCATAGAAGTTACAATAGAATCAATAGTATCAATCATCATGCAATTATCAAGACTAGAGCTTGGATATTTCATGCTCTCATTCAAATCAAATTCTATCACCTCATCTCCTACTTTTAGTGAAATTTTAGCACTTTGAACATCTATTAAAGCACCCGAAGTAGCAAGAAAAGGTCTTCCTAGAATTATTGGAATGTTAACATCTTCATCCATCTCTAACACAACAAAATCCACCGGGATTACAAACTTCCCTACCCTTAGAGGAACATCCTCTACCTTACCCTTTGGGAATTTAATAGAGCAATCGGCCAATTGTAGGGTGATGTTGGTGGGTAGAAGTTCCCCTATCCCAAGTCTTTGGTATACCGAGTATGGCATTAGGCTAACACTAGCCCCTAGGTCACACAAAGCATTATCAATTTGCATCTTGTATATTGCACATGGGATAGAAAAGTTACCGGGGTCATTTAATTTGGGTGGCATCTTGTTCATGATGATTGCACTACAATTCTCGGTGAGACTCACCGTTTCAACCAATTCACACTTTCTCCTTCCACTCAAAATATCTTTCAAAAACCTAGCATAGTTGGGCATTTGCTTGATAGCATCGGTAAAAGGAATTGAAAGGTGAATTTGTTTCAATGTTTCAAGAAATTTTCCAAATTGCACATCTAATTTGTTTCTAACAAATTTGTGAGGATATGGTAGTTTTTGCAATTGTTTTGTTTCTCTCTCTTTTTCTCTTCTGTCTTCACTCTCTTTTTCAAAATCTTTCTCTTTCTCAAATTCTTTTTCTTTCTCACATTCTTTCTCCTTTTCATTCTCATGGTTTTGCTCTCTCTCTTGTTCAAAATCACTTTTAAAGGGAGGCTCACTCATGTTCATTCTCTCATTGCCTTTTTTAGGAACACTTTCTTCCAAAACTTCACCACTCCTTGTTGATATAACATTTACGGGCCTCTTTAGTCATCACTTCACTAAATTTCTTTTCACTTGAGGCCATTAAAGAATTGAACATTTTAGTTTGATTCTCCATCATTTCCTCCAAGCTAGACCTACTATGTGGTGCTTGTGCATAGTGGTTGTCTTGGGAAGCCCTATTACCTCTAACATTCGAATTGGACGTATTTTGATTAGAAGAACCTCTATTATTATTGTTGTTCCAATTGTTCCGATTATTAGAGTTTTCCCCTTGGTGAAATTGCCCTTGATTCCCATAGTTTCCTTGATTATTATGATTATGGTTACCATAACCACCTTGTTGGTTGTAGTTACCTTGGGGATTTTGGTCCCTTTGGTTCCTACTTCCCCATTGATTTTGATTATGGTAATCGTAATCATTTCCTCTTTGGTTATAGGAATTCCCCCCTTGTTCTCTTCTATTTGGTGGTAAGTATCTTTGATTGTCATTCCTATGTCTATTATCATAAGACAAGGCATTGACTTGTTCATTTTCATTTCATTACCATCTTCGTATTGGGGTTGGGGTTGGAAATCATAATTACAAGAGGTATCATGGTCATAAGACCCACAATTTTCACAAAACAAACATCCATGAGGCATGTTATTAGAAGTAGAGGGAGAAGAGTTAGAATTCATACCTCTCCCCTTAGATTGGGAGGGATGCTCTTGTGTTGAACTAGAGGTCTCTAGTTTTGCCTTAATGGACGTCATCTCCTTTCCAAGGTTGGCGATTTGGGAGGTCAAATTGTTGATGGCATTAAGGTGATCAACGGAGTAAACCGCATTTCCTCCCTTGTTTAGAGAATCTCTCTCTCCTTCTTGCCAATCCATGTGGTGCCTCACCACATCCTCAATTATCTCTATGACTTGCTCCTCCGTCTTGTTCATAATCGGGCCACCCGCTCCTGCATCCAAGCTAGTCTTTCCTTGTGGGCTCAAGCCCCCATAGAAAATTTGAAGCACTTGATATGACGGAATGCCATGATGAGGGCACTCCCTTTGATATTCCTTGTATCGTTCCCATGCTTCATAAATGGTTTCACTAGCTTTTTGACGGAAACCTTGGATCAAAGCTCTTGCCTCGGCCGTCTTCTTTTGGGAATAGAATCTTCCTAAGAAAGTCGTGGTGACCTCGTCCCAAGTTCTCAAGGAGTTAGGCCTCACCTCCTTCTCAAGCCATTCAAGAGCTCTTCCTATCAAAGAAAAAGGAAACAACTTTAGTCTCACAAACTCTTGAGTTACCCCATTTACCTTGATCGTGTTACAATATTTTTCGAACTCGTTCAAGTGTGCAAGAGGGCTCTCATGTTTTGCTCCACTATATTGCCTCCTTTCAATCAAATTAATCATTGCGGGCCCAATCTCGAAGTCATTGGCTTGAGTAATGGGTGGAGCAATGCCGCTTGAAGCTCTATAAGCTCCCGGAGTTCCCAACTCCTTTAAAGGTCTTTGAGGTGGTGGTTCCGCGTCA